TCAGTGACCCAGAATTAGTAAAGTTTGACTACATTTATTTCAGAAGCATTTTGGCTGTAGAGCAGTGTTGTCAGCCAAAAAAATTACAACTTGGAGATTTTTAACAAAAAATCGAAATTGTCCATGGAGAAAAAAATTGAATTTGCTGACCAGATCCACATAATATACTTGGTTTCAGAGTGGTAGCTGTGTTAGTCTGTATCAGCAAAGACAACGAGAAGTCCTAACAAATTTATTTGGGCACAAGCTTTCATAGGCTAGAACCCACTTCATCTGATGCATCGAGTTTATGCATCTGATGAAGTGGGTTCTGGTCCATGAAAGCTTATGCCCAAATGCATTTGTTAGTCTCTAAGGTGCCATAATGTACTTGGACTCTTAAAAGCAAGGAGATTTTTAGTTCACTGGAGAACTCAAAAGGCACAGTGATCCTGTCATAAACATACAGCTAAGGGTAGCATAAAATCTCTCCTTTACTGGTAAGGGGTTAAGAAGCTCAAATAACCTGGTTGGCACCTGAACAAAAGGACTAATAAGTGAAGAAGATCCTTTCAAATCTGGGGGGGGGTTGTTTGTGCTCTCTTTGTTGTTCTCTCCTGGCGAGAGAGGGACCAGGGCAGGAAAAAAAATCTCCTAAACCCCTACCTGAAATGAGCATCTAAGATTACAAAAATTGTAAGTAAGCAAGGAAATGCATTAGATTATCTCTTGTTTTAGCTTGTGAATTTTCCCTATGCTAAGAGGGAGGTTTATTCTGGTTTTTTGTAACTTTAAAGTTTTGCCTATAGGGGAATCCTCTGTGTTTTAAATCTTATTACCCTGTAAAATTACCTTCCATCCGGATATTTACAGAGGTGCTTCTTTTACTTTTTTCTGTATAATAAAGTTCTATTATAAAGGATGTAACCCTGACAGATTCCTTTTCAAAAATGTGGAATCTATCAATTTTCAGAATGTGTTAGCTCCAGAAATCGCTTCATTTACAAAGTCACCCTCTCCCAGAGAAAACAGAAAACATAAACTTCCAAAGGCAGGAGTTTGTAAGTTGCATTTTGATGGATTCAGGACATTGGCAGCCATTTATTGCATTTTTAACACCTGCCAATTTCTCTTTCAATCTAGCTCCATCCTCTTTTGAAAAATGTCCTATTTAACAACAGTACCGGGGAGGAAGTTTATTTCGATGAGAACGGTGAATCATCAGCTGGATACGACATTTTAAACTGGATCGTTTTTCCCAACGATTCCTTCATCACAGTCAAAGTGGGTCACGTGGACCCACGGGCTCCTGTTGGCCAAGAGTTCACCATTAATGAGGCAGCCATTGTTTGGAACAGCAGGTTCAATCAGGTGGGGAAACATTGCAGCTTCCAGAGTGATGGGGAGTGTTACAGTCCTGGCCCTTGGAGATCTCTCCTGCCAGGCAGGGTGAGTCCCATTGCGTAACACTGAGTGCCTGTAACAGAGACACACGCCCCGTGCAGGAGGAATTTAAAGCACCAAGAATATAAGGCGACCCTTGCCTCCATCTTCAATATAGGGTCAGAGTTCCCTGATGACACTCAAATTGGTTGGAAGTATATTGAGAATTAGAGCTGGTTAAAACAAAATTCTGGCAAAACATTTTTCTTTTTTATGAGAAATTGGGTTTTTAATAAAACACATTTTTTCCTGGTTTTCACACTTCCTTCCAGAGAAGGGACAAAAGAAGCCACAATAATGACCTACTGTTGTTAACCCACTCCTATTATTTTTGTTCAGACAGTGCCACGGTCCATGTGCACTGACAGCTGCCATCCTGGATATGTTAGGACAGTTTGGGAGGGGAAGCCACTTTGTTGCTATAACTGTGCTCCATGCCCAGAAGGGACCATTTCCAACCAGACAGGTAGGTGTCTCCAGAGGAATTTGCAGAGAATTGAGGACTGTGTTGGAATTTCAAGCTATCGCTTTAAGTTTGTGTGTGTTATGGGAGAGTCAGTCCTCATCCTGCTCTTGCAGGCTATGGGGCTCTGGGCATGGTAAGAAAGTGTGTGATTTGAGTCAGTCTTTTAGGAGCTGGTCTGCAGCAAGGGTGGTAGGTTGTTTCTCTCTGCTTTAAGGAGCAGCCTGCTCTGTCTCTCCCTGTTTTTGGTTCTTGTGTTGTTAAAGTTCCAGAATGTAAGAAATAAGGTTGTGTGACATTGCAACCTTCCGAAAAAGTATTTTATTTTGGTATCTAACTTCTCTGTGTGTATGATGTGAACATAACAGAATTATCACCCCCTAATAAAAGGGCACAGCTGGGGGAATTGTGCACAGAATTAGCTGTGATCAGATCTGATTGAAACATTTGAATTTCTCTCCTGTGGAAAATTCCAGTATTGTGACATTTGTTTTCATCCAAAATTTGGACAACAAATTTGAAATATCAAAACAGAATGAAAATATCAATTAAAAAAAAAGTCAAAGTGACGTGAAATGAAATGTTTCATTTTGCTTTGAATCTATATTACTCTCCATCCTCCTGGTGCCTCATAGGAGCTGTAGTTTAGATGATTTATATCCCCATTCTATCCCAGGGGCCAGAAACCCTGGCTGGACTATATTTCCCATGATGCACTATAGTCGTTCCCTCTGACTCAGTCACCATAGGATCACATGGCCATGGTGCATCATGGGAGATGAAGTCTGGAATGAGAAAATTGATGTTAAATTGAAAATTTAGTCAAAATTACCATTTTCCTGTGGGATATTTAAATTTTTCAGAAATCAGGTTTTCCACTGAAAAAATGGTTTTGATTGAAAATGTCTGACTAGCTCTACCTGTGAATAAATTTTGCTATGACTCTGTTCAGCCCACTTCAGTATTTGTTTCCCCAAATATGAATTTACTGGCAGGCGTCTTCATAGAAACAACAAATGTTAAGCAAATATTTTAGAATCTCTGCTAAAAGGGAATTTCAAATAGATAAGCCTGAATATTTAAAACATAAACCTGATTCTAGGAGTTCTGCTCATCCCCTCAACAGACAGAAACAACATGGTGCAACCTGTGGTATCTTGCAGTTAAACAGACTGGATTTCTGATATTAGATAATTGCAACCCAATGTATACATGTTGCAGTTTGAATGTATGTATGTAATATCAGACGTAAATAATTTCCTTCAGTGCCTGTGTTTCATCTTTGCTGTAAGAGCTGACTGGGTGAAATGTATCCCTAGTGTAATTTCATTGGTTTAAGTGGAGTCACATTTTGTTTTGTTTCATTTTGTTTCTTTCAGATGCGGATCATTGTGATAGGTGCCCAGAAGATCAGTATCCAAACAGGGACCAAGATAAATGCATACCCAAGTTTATGAATTTCCTTTCCTATAAAGAACCTTTGGGATTTATTTTGGCTTCTTTTGCTCTTTTATTTTCTCTTCTCACAGTGCTGGTGCTAGGAATGTTTATTAAGCATCAGGAAACTCCCATAGTGAGGGCCAACAACCGGGAGCTCAGCTACGTTCTTCTCCTCTCCCTCCTGCTCTGCTTCCTCTGCAGCTTGGTATTCATTGGCCAGCCTGGCCAGGTGACCTGCCTTCTCCGACAAACAGCTTTTGGTGTCATATTCTCTGTCTCTGTTTCTTCTGTGTTGGCAAAAACCGTCACTGTGGTTCTGGCCTTCAAGGCCACAAAGCCAGGAGCCAGCATGAGGAAATGGCTGGGGAGAAGACTGGCTGGCTCCATCATCGTTTCCTGTTCCCTTATCCAAGTTGGGATTTGTGCTGTCTGGCTGGGAATTGCTCTCCCGTTCCCAGATCTTGACATGAAATCAGAGGTTGGACACATCTTAATGCAATGTAATGAGGGGTCAAACACCGCCTTCTACTGTGTCCTGGGCTACATCGGCTTCCTCGCCATTGTCAGCTTCATGGTTGCTTTCCTAGCCATGAAACTGCCTGATACTTTCAATGACGCCAAGTTCATCACCTTCAGCATGTTGGTGTTTTGCAGCATGTGGGTCTCCTTCATCCCCACTTACCTGAGCACCAAGGGGAAATACATGGTGGCTGTGGAGATCTTCTCTATCTTGGCCTCCAGCACTGGGCTACTGGGCTGCATCTTCAACCCCAAATGCTACATCATTGTGCTGAGGCCTGACCTGAACACTAGGGAGCAGCTAGTTATGAAATCCAAATCTGGGACACAGGAATTATGAACTTTTTCCTGTTTGATGAAAGTTCTCCATTTAACTCACTAATTTTGTCTGGGGGTGAATTTGGCCCTGTCTATTACAGATTCCCAGCCAGCTCCCAAATGCTAAAATAAATTGGAATGTAAAAAATTAATCCTTATTTTGTGGGTGTTTCTTAGTGACATGTTCTGCTCTGGGTTTTCAGTGACACAACTCATAGGGGGAGGTATAGCTCAGTGGTTTGAGCATTGGCCTGCTAAACCCAGAGTTGTGAGTTCAATCCTTGAGGGGGCCACCTAGGGATCTGGGGCAAAATTGTACTTAGTCCTGCTAGTGAAGGAAGGGGGCTGGGCTCAATGACCTTTCAACATCCCTTCCAGTTCTAGGAGATTGGAATCTATTTTTTTTTAATGGAGATATCCTAGGTCAAAGGGGACATTGCCAGCAAGTTAAAGAAGTATGGGCTGGATGAATGGACTATAGGGTGGAAAGAAAGCTGGCTAGATCGTCGGGCTCAATGGGTAGTGATCAACAGCTCCATGTCTAGTTGGCAGCTGGTTTCAAGTGGAGTGCCCCTGGGGCCAGTTTTGTTCAATATCTTCATTAATGATCTGGAGGATGGTGTGGACTGCACCCTCAGCAAGTTTGCAGATGACACTAAACTGGGAGGAGTGGTAGATACGCTGGAGGGTAGGGATAGGATACAGAGGGACCTAGACAAATTAGAGGATTGGGCCAAAAGAAACCTGATGAAGTTCAACAAGGACAAGTGCAGATTCCTGCACTTAGGACGGAAGAATCCCATGCACTGTTACAGACTAGGGACTGAATGGCTAGGCAGCAGTTCTGCAGAAAAGGACCTACAGGTTACAGTGGATGAGAAGCTGGATATGAGTCAACAGTGTGCCCTTGTTGCCAAGAAGGCTAACGGCATTTTGGGCTGTATAAGTAGTGGCACTGCCAGCAGATCGAGGGACGTGATCATTCCCTTCTATTCGACATTGGTGAGGCCTCATCTGGAGTACTGTGTCCAGTTTTGGGCCCCACACTACAAGAAGGATGTGGAAAAATTGGAAAGAGTCCAGCGAAGGGCAACAAAAGTGATTAGGGGGCTGGAACACATGAGTTATGAGGAGAGGCTGAGGGAACTGGGATTGTTTAGTCTGCAGAAGAGAAGAATGAGGATGGATTTGATAGCTGCTTTCAACTACCTGAAAGGGGGTTCCAAAGAGGATGGATCTAGACTGTTCTCAGTGGTACCTGATGACAGAACACGGAGTAATGGTCTCAAGTTGCAGTTGGGGAGGTTTAGGTTGGATATTTGGAAAAACTTTTTCACTAGGAGGGTGGTGAAGCACGGGAATGGGTTACCTAGGGAGGTGGTGGAATCTCCATCCTTAGAAGTTTTTAAGCTCAGGCTTGAGAAAGCCCTGGCTGGGATGATTTAGTTGGGAATTGGTCCTGCTCTGAGCAGGGGGTTGGACTAGATGACCTCCTGAGGTCCCTTCCAACCCTGATATTCTATGATTCTATGACCATTGTGATCATCTAGTCTGACCTCCTGCAGAACACAGACTATAGAATTTCCACCAAAATAACTTGAAGTAGAGCAGAGCTTCAAAAAGAATTCCAATCTTGTGTAATTACTGGGGTGACTCTGTTCTGCAAACCCTTACAGTGCCAGTAGCATGGACGGCGTACTGTGTCTAGGAGAAAAGCACTGTAAGTGCTTCAGCAGCTAGGCCTTGTATGTGCTAGCCCTGGTGGTTCCCAATAACCCCTCAGATACTGGGCTAAGGGAAATGGTTTTTTACCAGGGTTGGCAGGAGAGGGAAAGGTTGCAGATCCCCTAAGCACAGAGGCTCAGACAGTTACTTTTCAAAGGGAGGAATAGCCGTTCTTGTTTGGGTCCCTGGCAGGCCAATCGAGAGAAAAGGCTCTTCAGCGTGAATCCCGCGGGTGTCTTCTCCAGTCCAGCAAATAAATGTTTTCAGGTTTCCAAGCCAGGCTCAGTTTGTCTCTCACTGGAACCCTTCTGCATTGGATCCCTGCCCAGCCATTACTGCTGTCCCGTAAGTCCCACACAGATCTTCACTCAGCTGTGATGTGCAGCAGTCACAGCCTGTTCCACTCACAGCTCTATCCACAGTTCCTGGGGCTTCTCTCCAGACCCCTGGTGCCATGCAGCTCTTACTACCAAACACAGCCCGGACACTTCTTGCTTCAGAACCTTTCCTCTTATCTGGCCAGGGACAGGAAATGTGCAGGGGGCTGATGGGAATCATAGCCCCTGCTTAGCCAGGAGGAAGGGGATATGCAGTGGACAGGGGGCTTATGGGAGTTGTAGTCCTCTGCTTTCAGATCCAACACACTTGATTTACAGCTAAACAGAGCCTTAACACTAGATTTAGTACATTTTTTTTGCTACTTAGGAGAGTATGCTATGACCACATACAGGGCTGGCTCCAGGCACCAGCGGAGCAAGCTCGTGCTTGGGGCGGCAGATTCCAAGGGGCGGCATTCCATCTAATCGTTTTGGGGGTTTTTTTGTGCTTCACCGCTTTGGCCGCCCCTGCAGGTTTTTTTCCATTTGGTTTGCTGCTACAGGGCGGCGGCGCGGAGGAGGGGAGCACCCTGCAGCAAGCCCGGTAGGGCAGCCCACGTCCTTCCCTGCCTGCCGACTGGAGTGGCGCGGAGCCCTCCCAGCAGGAGGCACGGCGGGAGGGACCGCGTGGCAAGCGCCCCGCTTAAGGAAGCCCTGGCCACGCCCATTCTCTCTCTCCGCCCCGCTAGCCGGGGTGCGCACTCTGCTGCCCGGGGTCTGCAGGGCCGGGAGTCCCCCTGCACCCATGCTCCCACCACCCCACAGGTATTTTGTTTTGTTTTTTTCTTTCCTTCACCGCTCCAGCCGGCCAGTTTGTTCCTCCCCCTCACCGCTCCGGCTGGGGGCAGGTTTGTTTCCCGCTCCTCCCCCTCCCTTTGCTGCTCCGGACGGCTGCTTTGTTCTCCCTCCCCCCCCGCCGCTTCTGCTGGCTGGTTTGTTCTCCCCCTCCCCCCGCCGCTCCGGCCAGCTGGTTTGGTCTCCCCCCCGCCACTCCGGCCGGGGGCAGGTTTGTTTCCCGCCCCCCTTTGCTGTTCCGGCCAGGGGCAGGTTTGTTTTCCTCCTCCCCTCTCCCCCACACTTTGCTGCTCCAGCCGGCCTGGCGTTTTTGGCTTGGGGCAGCAAAAAAGCCAGAGCCGGCCCTGACCACATACATTTATTTAAGCGATTATATAGCTTAATATTTTCAGATTCTTATTAATTAATTGTCCTTTTTTAGTGTGTTAGAAAATGGTGAATGATATATTGCTTATTTACTAGCTACTTAACTTTTTTCTCATAATTTTCATTAGGATGAGTAAGCGAGTGGACTCCCCATGGGACGCCTCCTGTTGGTTGTCCTCAGGAATTAGCTCACCAGCCCTCTGGAGCGCCCTCTGCCAGCCGGTGATCCACTACCACTGGGATGCCATGTCCCTCCCAGGACCCTGGTGCCCCTTTAACTGGGTGCTGGCCCCTGGCAGTACCTCCACAGTTCTGGGTCTCCCCCTCCCAGGGAAACCCCCACCCACTATCCCCACTTCATCACAGTCTTGGCTACTGCCCAGTCTCCATCTAGCCCCCGTTCACTAGGGCAGACTGCAGTATAAGCCACTCATCACAGGCAAAGGGATTTGGACCTGCTGCCTCTGGTTACCAGTGGGCTGCCCCTGCAACCCAGTACCTAATAGGCCTTACCAGGCCTGCAGCCTGGGGCTTTCCTAGGCCAGAGCTCCCCGGCTCCCTTGGCCTTTCCCCAGCCCTGCTCCATTCCAGATACCTGGTTAACCTCCCTGCAGCCAGGCCCTTCTCTCTCTGAACGCGGAGAGAGACTGCTGAGCTCCTGGCTCCCAGTCTTATATAGGCCAGCTGTGGCCTGATTGGGGTGTGGCCCAGCTGTGGCCGCTTCCCCAATCAGCCCAGCTTTTCCCCTGCCACAACCCTCTCCAAGGGCTGTTTTAAGCCCTTCAGGGCAGGAGGAGGTGCCCACCCTGCTACAGGATGGTAACTGGAATTTAATTAAACACACAAAAGAGCATGTAAAATTATTTTTTATTCAACACAACAAGCCCTTAATACAGTACATTGCCTACTGTGCCATATTTATATTGCTTGACCTGATCCCTGGATTCTTTTTACAGAAAAAGCCCCTCAGGGTGGAGGGGTATAGAAGAGACACATGGGGTTAGAATGGAGGCTGCTGGTTCGGGGGGAGGGTAGAGGAGGTACATGGGGTTGGAATGGAGGCCCCTGGTATTGTGGGGGGGGAGGTAAAGGAGACACATGGGGTTGGGTTACAATGGAGGTGCCTACTGGCGGTGTGTGGGGGGGGGACTAGAGGAGACACATGGGGTTGGAATGGACATCCCTGGTATGGGTGGGGGGTAGAGGATACATCTGGGTTTGTAATGGAGGCCCCAGGTGGGGGGTAGAGGAGATGCATGGGGTTGGATTAGAGGCCCCATTCACCTTGCTCGGGCCCCTGCAATTGGGTGATTGCCCTCCCGGTCTAACTCCTCGCGCCTCCAAGGGAGAAATCACATTGCACCAGCACCAAACACAGCCGTTTATGTTAATTATATTGTTGGATTTCCATGTTCCCTGTTTCCGCCATTTCTAAATCAGTGGCTAGGTGCCAGCCAGGACAGAAGTCACCCCCGGCTTCCCCTCCAGCGCCACAGAGGACCTGAGGTGAACAATGCCCACGGCAGTTTAGGCCATCCTCAGGAAGGGCCCAGCTCATGTCCAGGAGAGCAGGTTATCCAGCCATGGCTTGTACTCAGCCCCACTATACATCCCAACCTAACTGACACAGCCCTCAGAGCCATTTCACTCTATGAATTCCATGATTGGATGTCACTTTCTTTCTTCAGCCCACATTAACATACTGCTGGTCTGTGTCTGTTCTAGTGGCTTTTATGAATCTGCTGCTGCTTCCAACAGA